GAGTACAAGTTGTGTACTATAAACTGCCAGAAAAGCTGAGGAAGGGTACCGTGAAATTTGTTAACTTTCTAATCTCGGAAGTTGCCAGAATAAACACTAATTTCATAGTAAAGGGAATCTTTCTTTTGGGTAAAACGATAAAATTTGTTCTTTTCTCTATTTGTTTTTGTGTGCATAGAAAGAAAAAAAACATCAAGTCAAGTATAGTACAGAATAGAATATATACATACATCGTCATTCTGTTATACCATATTCTTTTTCTCAGGCATATTGAATAATACTGTTCTCAATTTTATTTCCAATCAAATTACCGGTGAATTTATTCACCGATGAATATTTTCACCGGTGAATAAATTCACCGATCCGAATTTTGACGGCTTCCCTAAGCGTGATATACTATAGGCTGTCATGCATTTATTCAATGATTATTTCCAAAAGCATTATATCTTCATTGTGCATCACATAGTCTTAATTTAGCCATCTCTGACTCATGTATCATTATTGCACTCCAGGATTGTGTTGGAACCATTAAAAGTATATATAATTACTTAAATTCATCAACTAAACGAACACAGAGATTGGAAAATTTGGTTGAAAATTTCTAAAAAAGAACATCTTTCAAAAATGTGTAACATCCACTGGATAGATCGTCACGATACGGTGATTGTATTTCGTGAGTTATATTCGCGCGTATTGCATTGTTTTGGTGAGATAACTGAGAAAAGTAAAGATGCGCAATTGGCACATAATTTATCTATTAATATGAAAAATTCAACATTCATAGTAGGATTATGTATATTGAATAAATGTTTATCGCTGACATTACCGGTTGCAAGTGGCTTATAGTCACCGAGGGATAATATTATGCATTGTAAACAACTAATTGATGATGTAGTATTTATGTTTAAATATATTCGAAATGAGAAATTAGAAGAAAATTATGAAGAAATTCTAGATGTAAGTTGTTTCAACTATAAATCGTAAATAGCACTCTTGAATATTTAGGATCTCACAGAGTTATGTGATATAACTGGTAATGAGGTAAAATAGGCAGACAACTCGTTCAAATGTAGCATAAAAACACCATAAAAATATTATTGTCTTAATTTATTCATGCCCATATCAGATCATTTTATTGCTCCACTTAACGAACGATTTTCTACTCATCAGTGGTTGTTATTGAGCTTATCTCGTCTCATACCAGCATTCATCGAAGGAAAACCATTTGATGATATTAAAGAAGCTGTTGAAATATATCAAACTTTGTTACATGGTTCAACAAGTGTTAACAAACAAGAGTTTTTATTATATCAGAAAAAATGATTAGATATTCAGCTACATGACCGTCCTATTAATGTTATGCAAGCTTATTTGTCATGTAATGAAGCATTTTATCCCAATATAAAATATTATTAAAAATTTATGCAAATTTACCGTTAATAATCACAACCGGCTAAAGAAGTTTTTCCACATTGAAGTACTTAAAAACATCTTTAAAATCAACAATGTTTGAAAATCGTCTCAATGGATTAGCAATGTTATACTTAAACTCGAATATAGCCATAGATATTGATGAAGTGATAAACCGTTTTTCAAGAAAAAAATAGAAAATCGTGTCGTCTAGAAACTCCTAAGTAAAGTTGCTAAACTTGCTCTTTTGTACAAGTCCACTAGTATCGAAAATTTTTTCTAGATTATCCTCGTTATCATTAAGTGCTCCTGATTTACGAGTTAAAATAACACAACTTCTCCATTCGTTTTCCCACAAAAGAGTCCATTAGATATATATCTCTTGTTATTGACCGTTCAACAGAAGCGCGTACCGCTGCATACGTGGTGTCACTATATGATACTGAAAATACTGTATTTATAGTTTTCGGTATCAATATAAAGGTGACCGTTTTACTAAAAGACGTAACAGTCAGACACTGTTTGACTTATAAAAAATTGTTCTGCTTTACAGATTTTAAATTTTATTTTTATTTTGTTGGTTTTCATTCACTTGTGACAAAACGAACGCTCCATCTGAAGCGTGTGCTGAGATGTACATCAAATAGGACGCGAATTTCTTGAAGTCCTGTATGTGATTTTAGGATTTTTGAACTTTATACCCTAGAAAAAGTCTACATAAAGTAGAAATTTGGTTCTTACAGAAAAATATTTTCGATAACTTTCTATTTCTCCCTCATGCACGTGAAACCTAGGAATGAAAATTTGAAGAAAACAGTGATGATATGGTCTTAATACATTGAACTAAATAGAAAGTTTGAATATCATATGGACCTTAGATGTCGACGAACACCAAGAAAAGGTGGTATGATTTAATACACAAGTTACATTTAAACTTTCTGTGTTTTACAACAAACCGAGAATACAATTATACGTTGCGTTTTCCTACTGAGCTTATAACTTAAGCAAATAATGTAGTTTGTACCAGAACCCCGTTTCCGATGGCATTAGATACATCAATGACTGATCGTATTCACTAATCGCTTCTGTTGATAGTTCAATTATATCATCTGGTTTATTTAAATTAAATCGTTGAAATTTTACACATTTAAAACCATTTTGTTCATAGAAATGATCTGATTTCAGATGTTTTCCTGTTGTTAAATGTATATATTTATATTGACATTCTTCTTTTGCATAATCCACTAATATTTGTAATAATCGTCGACCTAAACCAGAACAGCGATATTCTTTATGAACGGACAAACGACGTAATTCACCAATATCATCTGGATGTGGTTGTTTTCCCAATGATAATTGTTCTTGATAAAACTTATTATCAGCAACTGATAATGGTTGTAATGCAATTTGTCCAATAATCTGATTATGATTAGAGACAGCTACCCACCAATTACTACGTGATGATAGTAAATAATTTTTTTCAATATTTGACATATCCGTATCAAACGCCAATTGTATTATCATAGGCACAGTTTTGACTTCTTCGCGTGTTTGACGAAACAAATTTTCACATTGTTCTAAATCAGTCGATTGATATTGGCGAATTTTTATTGTTTCGGATGAGATCATCTGGAAAAATAAGAAAAAATAGTGGTCAGAACATAACGTAACTCTTGCCGTAACTCTTCACTCAAGATTTTAACAGCCTACCTGCTTAGAGCTCCCAAATTCCTTGTGTAGTCATGTTACAGAATACGTATTCCACCGGCGTACGCAAAGTCATCAAGTTTGAACATAATCCCTCTACACACAAGGGACGATTTTCAGAATCAAATCACTTTATGTATAGACAGATAGCTATACCGAGTACCGTATATGATAAAGGTGAAATAATTTGGTACTAGTAAAAAAGGGATTTAATAGTTCTAAGCACACTTCTAGCTGCTTTGTCATCTGGTTGAACATCTCAGAGGAGACCGTAAGCACATTTATATTGACTTTATTCATGTAAGCTGATATGTGACGCAACTGAACATCTATGAACATAAAAATATGTGTCGCTACAAAAATGGTTTTGAAGAGTTCTTTCCAAATGTCAATAAAATGAACTTTCAACAGCTTTTAACCACAGAATGATTACTGAGTGTTTTCAGTGCTCTCTCGTTTGAAATAAAGTGTTTGATATATTATCATGTCAAGCCCATTTCTCTCTCTCTCTCTACAAATAACGATACGATCCTAGGTGTCTTTTTAGCATTTTTCTAGAGAGTTAAGTAAAATTTATATTTAGCGTGAAAGTATGATCACGTTTAATTTCCATTTGAAATTTTTCGGATTAATATAGAAGTTTAAATTGTTGATCGCAGATTATAAGATATATTTTTTCTAGTAGTTCGATGGGTGAGTCATGAGTGCCCAATTAAATATGGCTATGGCTATGTAGCCAATGTAAATGTTTAATTGAGTAGAAAAGTTTAAAATATATAATTGTAAGTTATAAGATTTTATATTAAATTGGATTTGTAGTTTACTTTTTGTATAATGGTTAAATGTGGAACAGAATAATTAGCTAATTAATGTTGCGATAGCATGTTTAACGGAAAATATTAGACTAATATTGTTGACTAACAATGATAACTTTGTTTCTCTTATATCTCATTGTTTTTTGTGGAAAACCCTCACTATCTTCGAAGAAGAGGGAGTAACAGTTTTATACCCCAAAGCCACTGTTTTTAAGACAAAGTTGACCTTCCCTTGGAGGACACCACCTGTTAAAATATCGCACACAACCTGTTAACGTGACTGAATCTCTGACATTTCGCCAAAAGACAATTCTCCGTGGTGATAAGTTATCCGACGTTTCGCCAGTTGACGAAAGCGTACAAATTCTTAGCGAATTATCTTTTGGCGACACGGCTTTTTACCCTTTGACTGGACTTCTCACGAGGGAACCGCCCGAGATGTCCACGTCCGATCCCAATGACTTGTACATGGACCGATAGACCTCAGTAAGGTAGTAAATACTCTAAAAGGATTCGGGACCATAACTCATGAAGATCCGATTTTCGGGAAAACCAGTTTTTCAGAAACTCTAAACAATAACCAAAACTTTTCTTAATGAGACATGATTGTAGCCCGCAAATTGCTGATTAAAATGAGACCTCTCCCACCTCTACACGATCTTTCTTTGTAAAGTTATAGAATTTACAATAAAAGTCCTAAATTAATTTCTTCTTATTTCAGTAGCTTTGAATTGACGATGAACATGGTTATTGTTTAGAGTTTCTGAAAAACTGATTTTCCCCGAAAATCGGATCTTCATGAGTTATGGTCCCGAATCCTTTTAGAGTATTTACTACCTTACTGAGGTCTATGGATCCGTGTACAAGTCATTGGAATCGGAAGTGGGCATGTCGGGAGTTCCCTCGTCAGTATTGGGAGTTTCACCTTTTAGCACCTTTAGGTATTACACTGCCAAGGTTTTTTAGTTATATGTAAATATTCGTAAGTAGAAGTATGAGTATAAACTGTTTTTTTGTTTTAATAATTGTCTTTGTGTTTAAAACTTGGATTTTAGATATTTATATTATTTTTCATAAATTTTCATTTATTTTGTTTTGTTTTGTTCTAAAAAAATTAGACTTTTCTGGTTTTATTGTTTGTTAAAAACATAGTTTAACTGTTGTTAGGTGATTTCTGCTCAATGGGTTAAATAGCTGCAGTAATCTGACTGTACTAAGGTAGCATAATCGTTAGTTTATTAGTAAGAAACTGGAATGAATGAATAAAAGGATCATTAAGATTTTTTAAATTTTAATTAATTTTATTATGTATGATAATACACTTAATTTAATGCTAGACGATAAAAACAGGGACTGAACCTTTTGTAGCATAAAAACATAAGAGTAAAAATTTAATTTTCTATAAAATATGTGTCAAAACAAACGGACTCTCTTGTGAAATGATCGAAAAAGTTTAGAAATAATGTTGACGAGAAAAATAGCAAGAGCGTGTGGAAAGTGGGAGAAAAAAAACGATGTTAAAGTCTCGAAAAATGCAAAAATCTCCATCCGTGTCTCGCATTTTCTACACTTGATTTTGGAACTATGAGAAGGATATTTTTAGCAACAAGACAAGTCGAACACACTAGTTAAAATTATTTTTTCATTCTCGAGTGAGAATTTTATGGCTTGTACAAAAAATAGTCCAAGATGAGATTCTCAAGATCGCCTAGAATATCTCAAATATTATTTCTAAGCTTTTTCGACTATTTCATAAAAAATGCCATTCTTTTTGCTACTTATTTCATAGAAAATTAAATTTCCAACCTTATACTTTTATGCTAGAAAAGGTTCAGTTCCTGAGCCCACTAAAACACCAATAGATACTTATTTTAATTTCGTTTTTACATACTTTGTTATTTAAAACTCATTTTTTTCCAAATAAAGAAGTTCATAAATAAGTTACCATGAAAAACATGAAAAAGAGAGATGCTTATCGCAAACTAGAATTGAAATATATATAAGTTTGGATAAAGGAGAGAAAAATAAGGCAAAGAATTTCTCTTTTTTCTATACGTTACAGATTTATGTAAGTTAGGTAAATATTTCATATGTGATACAAAAAAGAGAAAAAAAATATTTTCACCTTTACAACTACGATGTTAACGTACATTATACTTCTTAAAAGGAGTATGGCAAAAGGAACTTAATCTACAGATCGCCAGCTCATTTCTGTCAAAGGTTATTTGTAAAACAATGGGATTGTATTTTGTTTTGAAATGAAATGGATAGTTGTAATTTGTTCATATAACATTAATTTTTAGATATCATGTAAGAACCAGGTGATGAATTAAATAACAGCTAGTTTTCGATATTGTGAATACCATGACGACGTAGACAAGGACGCTGATTTTCATCTGGAACTAGAAGAGATCTAGAATAGTCAATGAGCAGCATTAGACGAACTTTTATCTATTTGTGCGAGTAATAAAAGGGCACATGTAAAAGTCGAATTAGAATTAGAAGTACGAAAATACCAAGTTAAGAAGTTTTGCTTCGGCTTTCTGGTTTCCAATGTTCCAGTGATCTATATCATACACTGCTGCCACCATATGTTGATTTGGTGTTTTGTAATAAGGTTTAGGCGGCAAGGAAGGGTAGCAGGATTAGTATGAGTCACAACTCAATACGACAAAGCGGAAACTAATAATATGAGTTTGCATTTAAAGCTGCAGAGATCATTTAGCGCCAACACGTAAAGGGTTTTTCTTGAATGAAGAAAAATAAGTATAGGAATATCTTGAAGAGTTGGGTGTTGAAATCTTTATTCAATTCATGAAGGGGCTTTTATCTACAAGACCTCGAATTTGAGATGAATCTTCTATGAATCTATACATTGAAAGATAATGAAAGGCTAATTAAAAAATTCAGTTTTTCTGTGCTTTTTGTATAAGTCGTAGCTATAATTTAGGAAAAGAAGTTCGTCTCGGTATTATATTATGAAGAATAACGATGGGTACATCACCAATGAAAGTAAATAAATTTGGATTCAATGAAGTCCAACAAACCGTTTCGCAGAGTCCATAAAACGGACGTTCAAGAACTAGTTCACAATTGTCATTTTCCGTCCGTGTCAGAGGGAGTTCAGCCGTTTCACATGGTCTATTAACGCCCGTCACCTACTAGTTCCCTATGACATTTTTTCTTCCAAGTCAGGGGAAGTTCAGCTACCCGTTTCGAGGAGTATTTTGAACGAGAGTTTCGAACTGAAACTAAATTTCCTCTCATTAAAACGTATACCACAACAATCGCAACTCAACAAATGAAACAGAAAAAGATAAAAAAACTGGAGAGTTGTCCAGCGTAGAAGGGGCCAGGGCAAATTCTGAAATTCATAAACCCTGTAATTATGCTATTTTATAGTGGTCTGTTGTATAAGAAAAAGTTTATAGGAAGTTGGTGGTCTCCGTTATATCATGTGATCACACATTATCTCCTATAGATAAACTGTTAATAGAGTATGTCCATCCGCGGCGCACCATATCGATTCTTTTCAAATTTAGAACTTTTAGCTGAAGCGGACATCTCTACAAAGCAGCAACAATTCATTGAGACGTGTCTCAACAATTACCCAAGAGCGAAAAAAAACCATGGAACGTGCGTCGGAATCCCGTTCAAAACTGACAAAATTTTTCGACTTTACCCGTTCTATAGTCGTTCAAAAACGCGGAACGCCAGTTCATACGCTAATTCCTATTTCTCTTTTATAAGACTCTTCAAGGGAGTTCAAGCATACGTTTCACAGGGTACTTTGAACGGGCGTTCAAGAACTAGTTCCTATTTCTCTTTTATAACTCTAGTGAAACTTCTTGTACGCAACGGCTTGTCCACATAACGCGACACTTCGCTGATTAAGTTTTTAAAAATTTTTTATTATCCGAGAACCGATATGAGCACATCACTAGTTGCAGTTTTTCGCGCTGATTATGAATCCGACCTCTTTAACAAATAAAAATAAAAATTTCGGTGGAAAAAATTTAATTTAAAAGTTTGACCTAGAAACTCTTTTAAAAAAATTAAAATTTACAGTATTCGATAGAAAACTAAATTCACTACAAAATGGCTCAT